CGCACGTGGCTGTCACACCTGGCGCGCCCCCGCTGCCATCCCGCACCCCCGAGACCCGCGTGCACCCTGCCCTTTCCCATCGCCGCGTCGCGCGCCCTCACACCCCAGCCATCGTCCCTTCGCACCCTATCCATCCTGGTCCCACCCCCCCACCTGCTCCCACTGTCGTCACCCACGGGAGGGAAAAAGGCCGGATGTTCGTCCCGTGCCTAAAGGCACCGGGAGAGAGTGCAGAGGTGGATCCTGAAAAGGGTAGCCTGAGCATCTCCCCGGCGCAGCAACGCGGACGTTCCCGACTGACCTTCTGCCGCGGGCTGCGTCGCCGTCCGCTCCGTCCGGCCTCAACAGCCTCTTCAGCGCCGCCGCCTCTTCCCCGCGATGCCTCCTCTACCCGCGTCGCCATGAGGTGACGGCAGCAGCCAAACAAGCGGCCCGACAACAGGCACGGAATCTCGCAGGACCCTGCGCCCCGCCCCCGAGTCCTCACGGCCAATCGCCGCACGCGAGCCTCCCCACGTGACCGGAGGAGGTTGGCCCCCCAAGGGCAGGCCCGCGGTGGGGGTGAGAAACAGTGAATCCCAGGCTGGGATTCTGCAAGGGCCGAAGGGCAGGCAGAGGCCGCCCGAGCCTGCGCGGACCGTGTGAGGGCCTCGGAAGTGGACTACAAGTCCCAGCAGGCCGCGCGCTCCCGGCTTGGAGGCCCGAATCGGGATTGGAGCGTAATGCGGCGTTGTGAGACGCAAGGAGAGCGAGAACCGGCGGAGCTGCTTGTGCAGCCCATTGGGACTTGTAGTTTCTGGGGCGATTGTCTCGGTACCGGAAGGTACTAGTTATTATCCTACAGGAAAAGTTTAAATATAGTCCAGTGTTTGAGAAGGAGCGGAATCGGGGACACTTTGTTGTTAGCTGGTTTTGTTGCTGTTCTTCGGAATGGAGCGCTAATGACTTGGGAATAAAGGAAATTGCTCCACGATTCTCAAAGTGGATTTCATGGCTCTCAGAATATGAGGCTTTGGGCGGAGGCACTTGCCAGAGTCCAGCCCTTCCACCGGCGTTCTCACCACAGATTGCCTGTCCCGAGCGCCTGTGCGTGGGCAGCACCACCCCTTCACTTTGGCTGAGCCTCCCGGGCTCTAGCTCAGTTCCCGCAATTGGTTGTAGCTGAATTCGTGTTAAATGTATCCTGCTTTCTCCGTCATCCGTTTCGTTATTTAAATATTTCAACAAACTGTGTGCTTAATCACTTATTTTTCTTCCTGTGACGGGGAAGGGGGCTCTCCTCTGTAATATTCGCCGTTTCCAGCTGATAGAATCAGAAAGCTCTCCCACGAGATCTTCTGGAAGTCACAGGACCATCATGAAATCCTGACAGACTCTTAAATAATTCGTTATGAAAATGTGTGCAAATCCTACACCATTTTTTAATTGGAGTTGAATATAAAAGTGGTAGCAAGTGCCAAAAATTTAGTAACATACATGAGAGTAAATTTCAGTATCCGGGAAATCTCATCCATGGATTTTAATGATTTTGTAAATTGCGCAAAAGTACCATTGTTTTGTTTAACAGGCAGAACACCTCAGACCAGCTTTGAGATTTTAAAACGAAAGAAGAATTTGAGGCAGGGGTAGCAGTGAATAATGAACCTGCACCGGGCCGGGGATTTAGGTCAGTGGTTCCACCACCTGCCTCACAAGCGCAAGGTCCTGAGTTGGATCCCTAGTACTAAACAAAACAAAACAAAAATGATGAACCTGTACCTAGACTACGTAACCTAATGGCCTTGGCAACCAAATCTCATTTTCTTTTTTTGGGGGGGTGGGTACTGGGGATCGAATTCAGGTCCTTGACCTTGCAAGGCGGTGGAACCACTAAGCTAAATCCCCAGCCCTAAATCTCATTTTCTTAAAGGAAAAAAGTCCCTGCAAGACGTAGAATAGATCTATCAGTAGTGCAATTGGCCAAGAAATTGACAAGGTGCACGGTAGTTAAATTATACTGCAATAGAATACCAGGTAGCTACTAAAATTATAAGAATTTCTAAAAATTGACAGGGAAAAAAAGGGATTTCATTTGTGTTTATATAGAGATGTTTAGATTATTCATCAAAATGCTAATAACATTTTTCCCTTGGTGGTTGAGACTTGGGAATCATTTTACTTCATGATTTTATGTATTGTCTCAGTATTATGAAACAAAAAATCAATGAAATTGTCATTATGAAGAAAAAATAACTGCACGCAACCTCAGATTTTTTTTTTTTTTTTGGTACCAGGGATCGAACTCGGGACCACTGTGCTTGCGAGGCAGGCTGCAGAACGACTGAGCTAAATCCCCGGCCCTCAAGTTCACCTCTTAACAGAAATGACATTCAGCTGTAATTATTTGCACACATCCTCATTTCAAAAGGGATTTAGAATGAATCATACGCAACATGCCACAGCACACACCGATGTCATAGCACACACGTGTATATACACACAAATGATAAAGGGAAGAAGAAAATAAGGAGAAGTCATGGACTTGAAGCTAAAAACTGCATGCTGTTAGATCATATACTCAAGCTGGAGATAAACAAAATTTTTCTTTTGTGCTTCTTGACAACTGAGAAAAGAGGAAAACACAATTTACACATTGATTTACCACATCACAAAACAAAAACAAACTAGTTGCTCAAGAGGAACCATAAGCTAGTACTGGTCCTGTGAGAAATATGGTATAGAGATCTAGTTTGTTGGTTTGTTTTGTTTTGCTTTTTATCCTTTCTTTCTTTCTCCCTCCCTCCCTTCCTTCCCTGTCAGGGACCAAAACCAGGGCATCACACACGCTAGGCAAACATTCTACCACTGAGCTACATTTGCAGCCTGGTGTGTTTCTTATAACATCTTGTGTTTTGGGTTTTGGTTTTCTGAGACAGCGTCTGGCTATGTAGTCCAGGCTGAACTTGAACTCACTATGTAGCTCAGCTGGCCTCAAACAGCGATCCTCCTGCCTCAGCCTCCCAAGTGTTGCGATTACAGGAGTGTACCACCATGCCATGCTCTTATATCATCTTTGATACATGCTCCTCCTGTAGTTTTCCAATCTGTCTACAGGTCCTTCAATGTTCCTCCCTTCCAAAGATGAAGTCTAATTCCCCCTCTCACGAATGTGAGCCACAAATAGTAAGTAATCTGCTTCTAAACAATGCAATGCGGCAGAAATGATACATACTTTCCAAACTGGATGAAAGAATAATTCCTGCCCTTTCTGTTCTCATCGCTCTTTTCTCCCCTAAGTTAGACTAAGCTTTTTTTGGGTACTGGGGATCGAACTCAGGACCTTGTGCTTTCGAGGTAGCCGGCAGATCCACTGACCTAAATCCCTGGCTAGACTAAGCTTATTTTTAACAGACCCCTTCTTTTGATCTTTATCTCAGGTGCATCCTAACTGGTTCCTCTCCAGCCTTAGGCTTAGCCAAAGCTTTCTTCCTAAAGCACTTTGCCTATCTCTGTTGGCATCCATTATAGGGACTTATATCCTAGGTCTTCAAGGGCTATCATTTCTTTATTCCCAAGGCTTTAAGGGGCACCTGGTGTTCTGTCTACTATGATTATTCTCATCTTTGCTCCAGAAGATGTTATCTGCTTTAGGAACTGTGCCTGCCAGTAGGGGAAAGGCCACAAGCACAACAACTCATTAGGCGGGGGCATTCTCTGCAAGCTCCCTGGGGGCTGGATAACCTGAACAGAAGTGCACTTACTCAGACACTTGTAAGTTTTGAAAGCACAGCATTGGGACAGAAATTTAGCTCAATGGTTCCGCTACCTGCCTTGCAAGCCCAAGGATCCCAGTTCGAACCTGGTACCAAAAAAAAAAAAAAAAAAAATTTAAAAAAAAAAAAAAAAAAGCACAGCACTGTGTTGCAGTCCTGTCATGCTAGCACTTGGGAGGCTGAGGCAGGAGGATCACCTTGAGTTCAAGGCCAGCCTGGGCTACATGAAGTCCATAGTGAGACCCTGTCTCAAAAACTAAAGAAGGGGGGTAGGATTTAGCTCAGTGGTGCTGCTGCCTTCCTGGCAAGCATAAGGTCCCGAGTTTGATCCCCGGTACTGCAAAAAAAAAAAAAAGATTCTGTTTATAAAGCAGAGGATTTATAGCTTTGCCTCAGGGAAGTGGAACCCACCACAGATCAAAGTTGATCCATGGCTGGACATACAGGAGAGGTGTAGAGTATTATTCCAAAGGGACAGACTTCATTCTTGCTAGGCTTTCACACCCTGTTAATTCGAGGGCCCGTGACTTTTTACAAATGGTACTAAGGATTGAACCCAAAGTCTTTACACTAAGCTACATCCCCAGCTCTTTTTAATTTTCTTGTTGTTGTTGTTGGGTTTTGTTTTTTGTGGGTTTTTTTGGGGGGGTACTGGGGATCAAATTCAGGATCTTGAACTTGCAAGGCAGGCAGTGGAACCACTGAGCTAATTTCTAGCACCAAATATACTGATTCACAATCTATTCATTTCACTAGTGAAAATCCATTTCATTCTCTTTCTTTTTTTTGGCTGTGCTGGGGAATAAAACCCAGCGTCACACCTGCTAGGACTGGCTCCTCCCCAGTCCCTGAGAATGCATTTCTAACCTTCATTCTGCTGCTGAGCCAAGCCTGGTGCTGCCAGAGCTATGGATAACAGAGAGCTTGCAATGGCTAGAGCATGCACTACAAATGCCCCAAGACCAGAGCACCACGCCGGGGTGGGGGAGACCAGGGCCAAGGCCGGCCCTCTCCCTGTACCCGGAGGAAAGTATGCCTCATCACACCCGGTAATAAGATAAAGGTACTGGACTGCTAAAGAAGCAGAGTGGCCGTGGCCAGGAGAAGACAGGAAAGCCATCGCAGAATGTTTGGGCGACAGGATGTTGGTCAAAAAGAGAACTTCAACCAGGCATGGAAGCGCACGCCTGTCATCCCAGCATTTGGGAGGCCGAGGCAGGAGGATCACCGTGAGTTCGAGGCCAGCCTCAGTTACATAGTGATTTCAAGGCCAGTCTGAATGAACCACATCGTGAGACCCTGTCTCACAACACCAAGATGATGATGATGACCATGACGATGACGACGACAGGCTCGATTTGCAAGGCTGTCCCTACTCCCGGTGGGAGGAGGCCCTGGCTCTCCTAATGCCTCTGAGCAGTAGGAACTGTTCTGATCTTGTACCCACCGAACTTTCCATCACCATCAGGCTGGTTGAGTGGGTTTGACCACAGGCTGTTCCCACTGTGTGAGGGGACACTGAGCTTAGTCAGCAGGCCGAGAGCTTGGGCACAGTGTACCCTGAGCACTCTGGAGTCCCCTGCAGGAAGCCCCGAGGCCCGATGGTCTTAGGCACCCCGTGTTCTTCCTGACAAGCACGCTCCCCGGCCACGTAACATCCAGGCACAGGGAACACACCCACTGCAAACCTATGGAGGAAAAGAGTCCCTGCAAAGATCAGCTTCACTCATCAGGCCGCATACCTCTGTGACACTGAACTCCTC